ACTCTGGCATAGACACCGAGAACTGGGAAGCTCTGGCGCTTGAGTGTTCCAGCTGGAGGTCAGCTGTGACCAGCAGTGCTGTAGAATTTGAAGAGGCATGAATGGAGGGTGAAAGGGAGAAACGTGCCAAGAGGAAGGTGCATCAAGCCAACCCTGACCAAGACCACCTTCCACCTGGAAACTGATGCCCTCACTGTGGGAGAAGATGCAGATCAAGAATAGGGCTCCACAGTCACCTATGGACTCCTTAACTAACTAAGTAAGGAGGCCAACCTTGGAGGGAATGAAGCCTGGGCCCACTTTGGCCCTCCCTCCAGGTGTGTTGGGCTTCAGCCCCTCTTCGACCCTTTGGAGAAGGATTGGGAAGAAGACTCACCGGAAGGAGGAGAAGAGGAGGAGGAGGAGGAGGAGGAAGGAGAGGCCAAAGGGGGAAACCCTTCTCTTCTCTCCCAGCCGGGCAAGGAAGGGTTAAGAGAAGGGAGTTGGGTTCCTAGAAGGACAGGAAAGGCGGGTAGGAGGAGGCCCACTTCTTTTTTGCCTCTCTAGGAACCAAACTCCCTCCCCTTAACCCTTCCTTGCCCAGAGTTACATTAGAAGGAGGGGAAAAGAGCCTCTCTCCAAAGCCCTGGAACCAAAGGACTGAAGGTGAAGGCAGAGAGATAGCCATGGAGGAAAAAAATCCCTATTCATAGGAATGTTAGTTAGTTTGTATTTTCTCCCTGCCAAACCCTTGCTGCCCAACCCCGCTGAACATTAAGGGGAATCCATCAGTCCAGGGAGCAGAGCAGAGCAGAGCCTCCATCTACACAACAGAGAAAGAAGGTCTCAGCCTGGAATCATAGAATCCAAGAGTTGGAAGAGACCTCCTGGGCCATCCAGTCCAACCCCATTCTGCCAAGAAGCAGGAATATTGCATTCAAATCACCCCTGACAGATGGCCATCCAGCCTCTGTTTAAAAGCTTCCAAAGAAGGAGCCTCCACCACACTAGGAAAAGGGTTTATATATCTGTGGAATGACCAGGGTGGGACAAAGAACTCTTGTCTGTTGGAGGGAGGTGTTAATGTTTCAACTGACCAACTTGATTAGCATTTGATGGCCTGGCAGTGCTTGGGGCAATCTTTTGTTAACAGGTGATTAGATGTGCCTGATGGTTTCCCCTTGTAATTTTAGAGTTTTTTAACACCTAGCTCCAACAGACAAGAGTTCTTTGCCCCACCTATTGAAACCCATTTTCCTAGTTCCAACAGACCTAACTATCTCTGAGGATGCTTGCCATAGATGCAGGCGAAACATCAGGAAAGAATGCCTCTAGACCATGGCCATATAGCCCGAAAAAACCTACAACCACCCAGTGATTCCGGCCATGAAAGCCTTCGACAATCAGAGTTGTGTTGGAAGGGTGTCACAGATTTCCACATTTCAGTCTTACCCACAACTACTACAAAAGGAGAGGCCAAGATAGTGGAGTCATAAGTAGGTATACCCGGTCAGGGTTGGCTTGAGGCGCCTTCTTCCTCTTGGCACGTGTCTCCTTTTCGCTCTCCACTCGTGCCTCTTCAAATTCTGCAGCACTGCTGGTCACAGCAGACCTCTAGTTAGAGCTCTCAAGGGAATTAAAGATATCATGGTACCACAATTGGAGCAATGGTTTAGAAGTTGGAGGGGAAAGAGCTTAGGGGAAAAGAGTGCTAACGGAATTTGAAAGCATAATATTAAAAGAGCAGATGAAAGAAGAAAATGAGAATCCGAAAAGGATAACCAATATGATATATGAATAGAGATTAAATTGGGAGAGGGGAATGGAGATAAGCAAAGGGAACTATGGCAGAATTAGACAAGATTCGCGAGGCTTTTTAGTGGAGAGTAAAAAACCCAAGCCTGCATTTATTTCTGAGCCAGGTAATGCTGGGCTCTCCTTCCACTCGGGCCTCTGCTTCTCTGGCCTCCAGACCCACCTGGCCTCCCATTGATATCCTATCCAGTCCCAACCCACAATGAATCCCCCCGTGATTCCTTCAACTGATTTATTTATTTAATTTAATTACTGTATTTGCATATTGCCTTTCCCAGCCCATAGGCAACTCAAGGCAGTTAACAGGGTAAAATTCAATGCTTACCATATCATAAATACAATTTAAAACATAACATATAATAAAAATTAAACATATCAATAAAATATAAGTATAGTCAAGTAAGTAGATATACCCTGCCCGTCCCTAGTACAACTGACTGTAACTCAGTGAGATCCAGATTTTCATCTACCTTGTTAGAATGATACGTTTTAAAAAACAGAGGCCAAAATACATTGGATATGCTTGAAGTTTTGATAACGCACTTGATATCCCACTTATGCCTTTGCTCCTCAATCTGTTGACTTGGTTGGGGATAGAAAATAGCAGTAGTAATTGAAGAGAGATATTGAAAAGCTGGAATGTGTCCAGAGGAGAGTGACTAAAATGATCAAGGGTTTGGAGAATAAGCCCTATGAGGAGCGGCTTAAAGAGCTGGGCATGTTAAGCCTGAAGAAGAGAAGGCTGAGAGGAGACATGATAGCCATGTATAAATACGTGAGGGGAAATCATAGGGAGGAGGGAGCAAGCTTGTTTTTTGCTGCCCTGAAGACACAATGGAACAATGGCTTCAAACTACAGGAAAGGAGATTCCATCTGAGCATTAGGAAGAACTTCCTGACTGTGAGAGCCGTTCAGCAGTGGAACTCTCTGCCCTGGGGTGTGGTGGAGGCTCCTTTGGAAGCTTTTAAACAGAGGCTGGATGGCCATCTGTTGGGGGTGCTTTGAATGCAATTTTCCTGCTTCTTGGTAGGGGGTTGGACTGGATGGCCCATGAGGTCTCTTCCAACTCTATCATTCTATGATTCTACTGCTTGAAACACAGAAATTACTTTGAACACAAGAGACCCAGATGCACCACCACAAAATGTGACAAAATGAGAATTATGCGTAATTCATTTTTGACCAGTCTACACACATTCATGCCAGAGAAAAGATATGTCACTCGAATGATCAATAAAGAACAAGTAGTATACTCTTTGTTATGCAGAGCAACTTATATACAGTTATGTGAACAGTTGCATTGACTCACACAAGGTCCTTTGAGAGAGAACTCAAGGCTCCTGCACAGCTTAAGCCTAAAAATGTAACTGTTGACATAACTCCAAGGCTCAGCTAGCTTCTTGGGACTAGCCCAATCAATCACTTTCATGCTTTGCATTTTCAGTTAACACACACTCACCAACTGATTTTACATGCTCCAGCAAAATATACCCTGCATCAATAGTAACCTGCTACTAGAAAAAGCATTTAAATATTTTCCAAGGTAGATTGCTCAGTTCCTAGATGTGTGTAGTGGACGGAGGCCTCACCTGCACCAGTAGCAGGCAGTCCTGGCTCTGGCAGGAACCATGAACGGAGGAGGAGAAGGCAAAGGCCTCTTGGGGAAGGCTGGGAGGCTAGTGAATGGTCGTGCTGCCTCTCCTGTAAGCATGCACCTGCCCACCCGCACTATACCATATTGCACGAATGTGATCTGCACCCCAATTCTGGCATGGTCATTTAGCCAAAAAAGGTGTGCCTTCGATTCACATAAATACAGTCATCTCTTTACTGGTAATTCAATTTTCTCAAGCAATTGGAAGTGACTAGGTGGGAAGCTTGTATTAATTATACGAATTAATACAATTGGGATTTTGGCCTGTATCAATAGGAGCATAGTGTCTAGATCTAGGGAAGTCATGCTACCCCTCTATTCTGCTTTGGTTAGACCACACCTGGAATATTGTGTCCAATTCTGGGCACCAAAATTCAAGAGAGATATTGACAAGCTGGAATGTGTCCAGAGGAGGGCGACTAAAATGATCAAGGGTCTGGAGAACAAGCCCTATGAGGAGCGGCTTAAGGAGCTGGGCATGTTTAGCCTGAAGAAGAGAAGGCTGAGAGGATATGATAGCCATGTATAAATATGTGAGAGGAAGCCACAGGGAGGTGTCAGCTCACAACAGCCGTCCCCAATAATGACACAGGACTCCAATCCCTAATCAATCAGAAACCTTTACTGTTGGATGTTCGGACACAAAGAAAGCCAGGATTGACCAGCAGCTGCCGGTCAACCTTTTATACACTCCCCCACATTCAAAATTCCCCTTCCCTCTAGCCAGGAATCCTGCGCAACTTTCCCGCCAAATGTCAACTGCTATCCCCGAGGTCACCAGCTGCACAGTTTTTATGTCACGATCCTGGTTTTTAGCGCCAAAACCAAAGGCCTGGAAACCGGCTCCTAACAGAGAGGAGGGAGCAAGCTTGTTTTCTGCTTCCCTGGAGACTAGGACATGAAACAATGGCTTCAAACTACAAGAAAGGAGATTCCATCTGAACATGAGGAAGAACTTCCTGACTGTGAGAGCCGTTCAGCAGTGGAACTCTCTGCCCCGGAGTGTGGTGGAGGCTCCTTCTTTGGAAGCTTTTAAACAGAGGCTGGATGGCCATCTGTCAGGGGTGATTTGAATGCAATATTCCTGCTTCTTGGCAGAATGGGGTTGGACTGGATGGCCCATGAGGTCTCTTCCCACTCTTTGATTCTATGATTCTATGAATGCTGTTGTTTTTCTTACTGTACAGACAAACTTATTTATTTGGGAAGCTTCATTAGCGCCGTTCTCCAACAGACTCAAGGTGGTTCACAGCAGCATTGAAGTACACAATATAAAACAAAACCATTATAAATATCCCAAAACTGAAAGTCCTCCTTTGCAGGACATTAAAATAATCAGCTAAAATACGTTAAAACCACTTAAAACTTCCCATATGGAGATCGACACTATGAAGCCCTATGTATCCTAGGCTTCTGTGCAGTTCCATGGAAAGCTATTATTCCCTTAATATAAGATCCAGACACTTAATTTTGCAGAATAGATCCCATTCGCAAAGTCTATAACAAAATGAATAATATATAACATTGGTCATTCTAAAATAAAAACAAGACTTGTGTTTTTCAATTTAATGTGGATTAAAAATGTGCGTGCCAGGAGCAGGGAAAACAGACAGCAAAGCCAGAGATACAATTTGCACATCAAGGGAAATACCCATGCAAGCATCGTTTCTTTGGGCTGAGCCTCAAAAGAAGGACTGTGTTCAATTCTGGAATCCCAGCAGAAAGACAACACTCACAAACTGGAAATTTGCAACCAAGGTGGTAAAGGAGGTGGAAACTAAGCCCAGAGGAACAACCGATGGAGTTACATCTGGTTTGTTTTTAAACTATTGCCACAGGGAGCTCGCTTTCTGCTGCTCCACAGAAGAGGACCTCACCTTTGGAATTCAAAGGACAAGAAAGTGGACTCTACCAAATCTTGGGCAGAACTTCTCAAATGGTCCTGTTTGAAATTGGATGTTTACCCACAAAGGCAGAACAGAGAAAAGTCAGTCCAGTCCCATGGTGATGCCCGTGACCAGAGAAGCAAAAGACTTCTCCACAACAGTCTCAAGTCAAACAAAGCAAAAAAGCTGAACAGGGTTCGAAACCGAGAAGGGAATTGTCTAAGAAATCAGTCCAAGGTCAAGCCAAGTGCTACATTAAGGCAAGGAAATCACACCTGTTCATCAGAAAATGTTGAATGTATAGTCTACAGGGCAAGCATGCCCAAACTTGCAATTTCCTTGTTGCAATTCATTGTTTTTTTTTACTTTTGTCCCAGCTCTTTGGATGGTTTTTCTCTTCTGTGAATTTTCTGGTGACTCACCAAATTTGATCTACTAGCAAAACATTTCCCACACTCCTGGCATTGGTATGGCTTCTCTCCTGTGTGGAGTCTTTTGTGCCTCACCAAGGCTGAACTGTAACCAAAACATTTCCCACACTCCTGGCATTGGTATCGCTTCTCTCCTGTGTGGACTCTTTTGTGGCTCACCATGGCTGAACTGGAAGCAAAACTTTTCCCACACTCCAGGCATTGGTGTGGCTTCTCTCCTGTGTGGAGTCTTTTGTGACTCACCAAGGCTGAACTGTAAGCAAAACATTTCCCACATTCATAGCATTTGTATGGCTTCTCCCCTGTGTGGAGTCTTTTGTGCTTCACAAAGGCTGAAATGTCAGCAAAACATTTCCCACACTCCTGGCATTGGTATGGCTTCTCACCTGTGTGGAGTCTTTTGTGCCTCACCAAGGCTGAACTGTCAGCAAAACATTTCCCACACTCCTGACATTGGTATGGCTTCTCACCTGTGTGGAGTCTTTTGTGACTCACCAAGGCTGAACTGGAAGCAAAACATTTCCCACACTGCTGGCATTGGTATTGCTTCTCTCCTGTGTGGAGTGTTTTGTGGCTCACCAAATGTGAACTGCGAGCAAAACATTTCCCACACTCCAGGCATTGGTATGGCTTCTCTCCTGTGTGGAGTCTATTGTGCCTCACCAAGCCTGTACTGGAAGCAAAACTTTTCCCACATTCATAGCATTTGTATGGCTTCTCCCCTGTGTGGACTCTTTTGTGCCTCACCAAGGCTGAACTGTAAGCAAAACATTTCCCACAATCCTGGCATTGGTATGGCTTCTCACCTGTGTGGAGTCTTTTGTGACTCACCAAGGCTGAACTGTACGCAAAACATTTCCAACACTCCTGGCATTTGTACGGCTTCTCTCCTGTGTGGAGTCTTTTGTGACTCACCAAGGCTGAACTGTCAGCAAAACATTTCCCACAATCCTGGCATTGGTATGGCTTCTCACCTGTGTGGAGTCTTTTGTGACTCACAAAGGCTGAACTGTACACAAAAGATTTCCCACACTCTTGGCATTGGTATCGCTTCTCTCCTGTGTGTACTCTTTTGTGGCTCACCATGGCTGAACTGGAAGCAAAACTTTTCCCACACTCCAGGCATTGGTGTGGCTTCTCTCTTGTGTGGAGTCTATTGTGCCTCACCAAGCCTGAACTGGAAGCAAAACATTTCCCACATTCATAGCATTTGTATGGCT